TCTATAATCATTGCTGTTATTATTACAGGAATTTGCAAAAAGTCCATAAAATCAGCGTTAGTCATTGTCATAAGACGCGCGCCGGCGTGTTCCAACAACTATCAACCAATCTGACATTTTAATATGCTGACCAATTCTGACATTTTAACACGCTGACCAATTCTGACATTTTAACATGCTGACCAATTCTGACATTTTAACATGCTGGCCAATTCTGACATTTTAACACGCTGGCCAATTCTGACATTTTAACATGCTGGCCAATTTTGACATTTCAATATGCTGGCCAATTCTGACATTTTAACAGGCTCACAAATTCTGAAATTTTAACACGCTAATAATTTCAAGAGATTTTTTGACCGATTATGAAAACTTTATGCCCAATTTTCGTCTTGTGACCCTAAGATTTCCCAGATGACCTTGACATTGCACTAGACTTTTTTCGTGTAATGGTTGATATGCCTGGCAACATTCATTATTATAATGTTACATTTTCTGACATTACAAAATTGTGTCATATTTTGTGCCGTGCCGTGCCATAACTGTAATGAACGTTTATCACAGAACCAAATGTTTTTTTCTAATTACTTATATATCTTCCAAACATAAGGGTGCAACAGGAAACCCCATCCAGAAAATTTGCAATTAGATCTATTAACACTCAATTGGCAAAATAGCAATGTTTTCCATTAATCAGTAGAATGTTAAATTACATGTGAGCTACTCAGATCAATTTGAACCAAAGTATCTATGTCATCTGTCTTTTTTATCGTTCATGAATATATAGAAGTGCAAATACAACACTTAGTGTGGTTGATAAACTCCAAACTTGTATTAATACACAATAACCGTGTATGAATTCAAAAAGACTATATTGACAATATCCGCTACTCAGTATTCAAATAAAATGGAGATATCATAATTGTAATCACTTTTAATGAAAATATATGCATTACATGGTGAGTTATAGGAAAATTCAGCAGTTTTTAGAAAATATATTATTAAGGCACAGATTAGGAAAATATAGGTACACAAAGGAAGTGATTCTTTTCAACTGGTAAGTGACATTCACATACATTTTATTTTAAATTACTGTGTCTACACATTTGATCAAACTTGCAGTCAAAATGGACAAAAACCTACACAACTTTATTTATTGTCGTCTTTATTGAATCGTATCATTCTGTGCAGTACAACAATGAATTCTTACATTCACACTGAGAGTACACTTTCTTAAGTGAATCATTCATTGTAGGTAGTAGGTAAATCTTACAATTCTATATAAATATCATTATAAATTTGACACCAAATCAGGAATTTTGGAGACTCAAAATGTAAATCATTAATATGCACACCATGAGAGAATGTTCATTCTTTTTTTATAATAACACACCAATTTCCCTCGTCATAATAGCCTTCAACTATCCGCACACCGCTGCATTCTTGACACAGACTTTCTAACTCGCCTTCTTTGTAGACGTGATAAAATCTATGAAAGACTGTCTTAGTGCACACATTCTCAGCGACACTCTGATCTTTGCTTGATGCATTTTCTTCTCCAATATTGTTTCTCTTTCCATTTTTTGATTTCAAATGCCACGGCACCAGCAGGTCTTGTTTCGCAAAAGCGGTTCTGTTAACATGAACTGATAATGTATTGGATGAATATATTGAGTCTTTAATTGGTTCTGCTCTTCTTGCTCTATTTGTCTGCTCATTATCCTTAGCAGACTGAGTATCGTTCTGGATCTGTGAATCATCTTTTGAATTCTTTTGACAGGAAGATGAATTCTCGCCACCTCCGATGCAACACTCATCTGGCTCAATACTCTTACATAAACATGCATCATGTCCCTCTTTTGTCTTATTTCCAATACTATTTTTGGCTACCACAGCAACAGGATCATCACCGTGTGCTGTAAGTTTTCTGTGATGAAGGTTTTCTCCTAAGTCACCAGACATCTCATGTTTACTCTCTTTTAGATATTTGGATTTTATTCGATTTCG